GGGGTTGGGGGTCGGGGAGGCGCTTACTGGATGGGCTTTCCCCGAATCTCAGCCATGATGGCGCTCTCCCCGCCCAGGTACTGGAAGCACAGGCTCAGGAAGCTGTAAATGACGAAGGCTGCGGAGCCCGGGCAGCAGGCGCGGTGAGCCTGGGCGGCCAGTGGCACCGCCTCCAGGAAGCCTCCCCGACCCCCACGCTGAACCCATTTCTCAGGACACGCTGAGGCTCAGGTCACCTGGCAGGACCCGCCCCCACGGGGCTCCCAGCTCAGCTCTGGGACCGACTCGCCCCTGGGGGCCCACCGCCCGGGAGAGCCCCACTTCCCTCTGGGCTCTGGGCGGCCCGGCTGACCCCCCTCCGCCCCCGCCCCGCGCACGGCTGGTCCTAGCTGTTGGGCAGCCCCCCACCAGAGGGCCCCGCGAGGCCAGACTCGGGCCTCACCTTCGTAGCAGTCCCGCAGGGAGTCCAGGTAGACGTAGTGCTGCTGGCTCCCCAGGAGCAGGAGGCTGAGCCAGGAGTCGAAGGAGTAGACGGGCACCACGAGCAGCAGGCGGATGACGTACCGCTGCTCGCTGGGCACCGTGTAGGCACGCAGGTGCAGGTAGATCTGGGGGAGGGAGAGCGGCTGGGGTGTCCGCACCCTGTGGGGTCACTCACCCACTGGGGGTGCATGTGCTCACTCACTCATCCACTCACTCATTCATTCACTCACTCATCCACTGACTTATTTATTCACTCACTCACTCACTCATTCATTCACTCACTCATTCACTACTCATTCATTCACTCACTCATCCACTCATTCATCTGAGGAGACCCTGCAAGGGGCAGTCCCAGTCCCAGTGGGCACACATTCCGGAAGGCAGTCTGGCATTTCAGCGGGGACAGGAGAAGGGCTGGTACCCTTTGGCCGCCCTCTGGTGTAGGAGAGGAAGAAGGGCTTGACCGGTGTGGCACAGTGGTTGTCAATCTATGAACCGGGAGGTCAGGGTTCAATTCCCGGTCAGGGCCCAGGCCCAGGTTGTTGGCTCCATCCCCAGGGTGGGGCGTGCAGGAGGCCGATCGATGATTCTCTCCCTGATCATCACTGATGTTTCTATGTCTCTCTCCCTCTCCCTCTCCCTTCCTGAAATCAATAAAAACTTATTTTAAAAAGCCATGAAGGATGCTGGTCCCGGCCGCGCACCGTGAGGACCACGCAGGGCGGTGGCCGCTGGTTAGACTGTGGTGCAGCCACGCACCAGGGTGCCACACGGCCAGGAAAATGGGACGCCCTGGCAGGATGGGGCACAGATATGTCAGGTGACGAGCCAAGCAGCACCTGAGTATTGGAAATGCACCGTCAAGATGGAGGAAAGAAGCGCCGTCTCCCCCTGGACAGCAGGAAGCAGGGGTGACAACAGCTCGTCTGCAAACCCTTCTAGGTTTTTCTATGGAACATAAAAAGGCGACAGGCCCTGGCCAGTGTTGCTCAGTGGATAGAGCATCAGCCTGCGGACCAAAGGGTTCCGGGTTCGATTCCGGCCAAGGACACGTACCTTGGTTGCAGGCTCCTCCCCGGCCCGGGCCCTGGTCAGGGTGCATGGAGGAGGCAACCCATCGATGTGTTTCTCTCACATGGATATTTCTGTCTTTTCCTCTCTCCCTAAAAATTAACGGAAAAATATCCTCGGGTGAGAAAAAAAGTGACAGGGCCTTTCAGAGGAAGAGGCCCGGGAGCTGGGCCTGGCTGCGCACTCTGAGGGCTCCCAGGAGGAGGCGCCGTGAGCAGAGGGAGAGGGCGTGGCAGGGCAGGCTGCACAGAGGGCGTGCCCCCGCAGAGGCCTGTGTGCCCAGCTTCCCCGGGGCAGCTCGAGGGCAGC